CTAGATGCAATGAAGAAGGAAATCCAGCAATAACCTAATTTTTGGAATGACATAAATAACTGCAGAGATATTCATTCATACTTCTTTTCCAGACTGGAGGGGTTTTTTTCAGAAATATTTGTAGTTGTAAAAGGTAGTTTGTTTTTTTTTTTTGTCATGGGCATAGTAATACATGGGCATGAAAGCAGAAATTATATGGACATGTAGTATGTAGGTAGATATAAACATTTTCAAGCTTTTGCAGGAGTAACAACTATTTATTGATAAAATGACTTTGTCTTGGTTATTGTCTGTAACACCCAATAATTCTGAAGGACCAGGGCACAGATGGATGCTTTGCTTTGGGTATTTATGCACAGGCTGTATCTGCTGTGTGTTTTGTTCAGAGCTCTCCAAGTTTGGAGCTCTCTGAGCATTTTGTTCTGTTCATCCATGTCCTGCAGTAAATGCAGGGCTCAGGTGTTCCTTCCATCTCAAAATTAAAGCCAGTGGCAGAAAGGAAGTGACACTGCCTAATTCTCTGTCCAGTCCTGTTTGCTGGACTATACTGCCTTCCAGCAAGTAAAATGAACTTCATGCAGTGATTACAAAGTTGACACAGCCAAAACCTGTCTATGCTATTGCATGTTGATCAGGCTTTACTTAATTTTTCAGTAGATCCAGAAGGGCAGGACTGCTTCCAGACTTCCTACTACTCAGCTGCTGCTGTTTTGGTTTGGCTGGGATGTCGTAGTATCTCCATTATCAAGCCCTGTTTTAACATTGCATATGAGTGATATTTAAAAAGTCCTTCAATTTTCAAATCAAATCTTTGCAGTATTCTCTAGCCTGACCTCACTCCTGACAGTTGAAGAGAAAATTGATTCAGAATATAGTAATTTGCTGAGAAGTGAAGAAATCCAAAATTCTTGTCTTGAGGCTTTGATCTCTATTTAGAAATCTTGCTGATGAGGTATAACTTCAAAAGACATTCATTTTGAAATTTAAAAAATGCATCTTTCTCATTAACCAAAAGATGCTTACTGATTCAGTAGATCTTTACAAGTTTATGTGAAATAAAAATTCAGTATTTAATCTTTGTATCTTAGGTGTTCTGGGGTCTGACCGTGTTGGTTCTTCAGTAAATCTGTCATGGGCAAAGATGGCTGGCAACAAACCATAGACTATGACTGACAAAATGGTACTTTAGAAATCAAGTTCTACAAGGGATTTGACCTGTATGGCATTAGTTTGACTCAGTGAAAGGAAGGTAGCAAAAATCTAAGCTTGAATTATAGGAAATCATCAGCTAGGAGGTGTTGAGTATGTCGCAAGTAATATGGATGAGACCTACACTGTGTGTTACATAAAATGCTGTTGACATAACATCATTTAGTGTTAAAATATTGTTATATTTTACCACAGTAGCTATTATATACTGGCAAATGATCATCTTGGTTCACTTTAGTATAAAGCAGTGTTGTTTGATTTTTAATTTCACAAAATTAAGGTTTTTCTCATCAGCATGAAATCCCTTCTCTGCAGAGATAAAATGTCTGTGCTCTGTTCCACAGCTGAGGAAAGAAGTTCCACCTCTAACCAGCCCCAGGTTGCCAGCAAAAGTATATTATAATTTTAAACCCTCAAGGCTGGCTGCTGAGGCATTAAAACCACTATTTCTGTATAATTTGGATGGTGTTATTTTGAGCTGTAGCTCCAATGGTTGGATATCCCTTAGGATATCTCTCCTGCTGGAATCCAGTGAGTCAAAGGGTCTCTGGAGCATATCTCTATCTGCTCAGCTCTTCTGCTCCACCAGGCTGCCAGTGCAATTGTCCCCTCGCCACTGCATCAGTCTTTGCTGTGACCTGGAGAAGAAAGCCTTTGTTACTGCAAGAGATGCAGACTGGATTCTTTACAATCTCATGGTGGCAATGAGACCTAAAATAGGTGCTCAGATCGAATGGTTCTTTGGCTTCCATTAGAATTATTCACTAAATTGCCAAACCTTGATGGTTTTAGTTGTCGTTTTTTCAAATTAATACCTTATCTTAAACTTATGAATGGAAAGTAAGATGGAAAAACTTATAAATGGAGAGTAAGATGGAAAATTTTTGACACTGGTTCATCCTTCATATGGGAGAAGGAAGGGAGCCATCCTAAGTTGAAAAATGCATCTACACAGACTGCCAGGTCTGATAAAGTGGAGTACATGCTTCCTGAGGTGTCCTGGGAAAGCCCTCCCCAAGACAGGAAAAGTACATTGCTGAAATGGATAGACATCTTCAGGCAAGTGAAATGCCCAGAGAGGGGGAGTCACTGGCCCACCCCAGTGCCATCATCTCTGCACCATAATTGTTGAAAACTGTTTCTGAAATCAGTGAACTTTGTAACTTTGCCTCAAGAAGGGACTGAGATCTGGTATCACATAAGCATATCTGAGCAAAAATGGTGCAATATGTGCTTTGTGGTTCTAAAGAAAAAAATATGTAAGTGAAAAAATGAGGCATGATTTATCATGACTTTTTGATACCAAAGAAGGACTTGAGATAATGATCTCATAGAGCAAGAATCAAAATTAAAGAGAGAAAACCAGATGTCCTGCATATAAATTACCAGGAGTTTGTCATCTCTTGCTGTTTGTACATCCTGTGATATATGTTCAAGCACAGACAAGCTTCTAGTTGGTTTCAAGTTTCACCTTTGCCATCAGATAAAAAGAAGCTGTCTCAGATGTTAAAATATTTTTTTTGTTGTTTATACAAATGCAAACAAAAAAATAGTTTTACTTTTTTCCTTTCCTTATGATTTTGTATACTGGAACAGAAGTGTCCTGATGCACGTAGTGACTGATGCTGTTCTAAGAGGGAAGGAAGAGGCTTTGTGATTTAGATGGAGCCATTTGGGAGCCCGGCTCTCCTGTGCATTTGATACCCACATCCTAGCAGCTGCTGGCCATGTTCTGGCCATGTCCTGTGCAGCTGTGCCCAGCAGGCAGTGCCTCTGCAGGGACAGACACACGCTGCCCTCCGGGCAAGGGAGTGCCCCAGATGGCACCTCTGTGTGATTTCATCCCTTAACTCACCGCAGGGCTCAAGCCTCAGGGATCCAGCAAGCTCACTAGGTGAATTTGTACCTGAAAAGAGCCCCTGCAGCACAGCACATTAATGTGGGACACTGCTCTGCCAGGCAAGGCAGAGCTCTGCTCAAACTTGCACTGAGTCGTGTTCCCATCTGTCCCAAGTACAGAAAGCTTCTTGTTAAATTTTCGTCTAGGGCAGACCGAGGAAGCCACATGAAAAAAGCTGTTGCTTGCTCCTCTGCATCAGGCTTGAGTTCTGAGGAGTAAAATAATAAAGAATACATGGGTGTAATTAAAATACAAAGGAAATAGGAAGGGGGGATAGCAAGGAACTATTGAGCATCATAATTATAGACATCTGATTTTACTGAAGGAATTAGAGGACTCTGAATGACTTAGCCCTATAGCCATTCTCAATCTTGAGGGAAGGGAGAGTGTATTAATGGGGATTGCTTTGTTTGTTTTAAATTACTTATGTTTTCACAACAACTTTATCATCATTTTCTTGGTAGTAAAACCTATAGAAAATCTGCAACACAGCTTCCACAGAAATCTCTATTATAAAGTTCACAAATGTAGTTGAAATAATTACCACCTCACTGCTAAATTGAGCATTCTTTTAGGAAGACTGCAGGAAATATGTTCAACTACAATGAGTGTCAAATCTTAATATTTCCATGTGTCAAGGAACTTAAGAATAAGTTTGAATTTATTTAAAATACTGTCTTTAAACAGACTGTAAATTACATGATTGATAAGCATTTTAAGCATGTGTGGTTTTCATTAAATTGCTTGAGTTATTTTTAAATAATACCTGAGATGGTTAAAGCTGAACTGGCTTGACATACATAGGACTCTTCTAACACACTAAAATAGTCCAGTAGAATCCACAAGAATACAAATCCTTCATCACAAACTGCTCGGTCTCCTCTATTTTGTATATTGGCTTGGGAAATGGCCCTTTTTTTCCTGCAAGGAGCATCAAGGAATCTCCAGGCAGAAACTCTCATAAAGTTTCCTTCTTCTTTCTTTTCTCCTTTTCTGACCATTTCCCACAGATTTTTCTGTACAAAAGGATTATTTGCATCTAAGGATTTTTTGTTCTTTGCACTATACTAGATGGGATTTCTGTGTCAAAAGCCAAGTAATTTTTGATTAACTGATACAAGCCTGGAAAATGTATGGAAATGAGACAATAGCAAAAAAGCTTGATTTTTTTTTGTTTTGTTTACAACAAGTGATATATAATTTTATATAGTTTATCATATATATGGTTTATAATATATATTTTTTATCATTTATAATATGCTAGTGAAAGCAAGTTTTTAACTAGAAAGCATTTGAAAGGAGAGCAAGAAGTAGATACACTAAGAGAAAACTGAAAAAAATAAAAATAATATAACTATCATAGGAAAAAGGAGTAAATCTATTTCTATGCCATGTTTATATTTCTAGAAACCTGGAATGAAACAGGTTTGTTGTCACATACAAAACTCTAATTTTATACTTTTGAGTGTGGGGTAGTTTTTTGTTTTCTTTGTTGGTTGGGGTTTTTTTAAAATGTATAAGCTGTCTAATTAGTATCAATTCTTGGTTCTGCAATGGGTTAATGAAACACACAAACATAATGCACAAGAAGTGTATCTGAATATGCAGTTGAGAACTCAAATTTGTTCTGTTTCCAAAAAGAAACAGGTTTTTTTAATATTATGGTTTTATATTCATGGAGACTTGTGAAAAATATGTCCTCAGAAGTCCATGGAAACACAAACCACTGATTTGTATTTCTTTGTGTTTTCAGTTGAAAGCTCAGTGTTTTTTCTTGTGTCACATAGTGATTGTTATACAAATACATGGGATTTGTGAAATACTGAAAGATTGATTAAATTTATTAAATTCAAAGGATTTCATGTGATTTTTTTCCCTATTATATCTGCAGGAGAAACCTTACAAAGCTGTCTCTCATCTTCAGCCACATGTTAGCAGAAATCAAGGCTATTTTTCCAAATGGACAATTCCAGGGTGATAACTTCCGCATCACCAAAGCCGATGCTGCAGATTTCTGGAGAAAATTCTTTGGAGATAAGTAAGTGACTTTTGTAAACTCCTCAATTATTTCTAAACATAAGCATTAAATGAATGAACTTTTCACAAATCCAAATAAGGATTGGTGGGTGTTTTGAAGATAATTTTTATCTAGGTCTTTAAATTGGCTGAAATTGCTGAGTTCATCGTTAGTGGGGTTTTCTTTTTCCAATGCTGTAATTTGCTCAAAGGTAGTTTTGTCAAGGGTGCTTAAGTTCAGTCTTACTGCAAGAAGTTTATTTGTTCCATTATAGGGTGAAGATAGTATATTGCTTTCATGAAGTATATGGCAAATAATGTCCTTTCATATTAAATATATATATATATATTCTACAAATGAAAACTCTAAAGTCTGAATTAGGAACTTGATCTTAGTTTCGTGGACAGTATGTTTCTTTACCTTTGTAACTAGAACAGTATGTGGTGGAATGAAGTGTGTGAAATGTGGATATGTGGTTTAATCCATACAGGAAATGCAGCAGTGAAAATGTAAAAGTAGGCATATGTGGGATTTTGGTTTGTTTCTGGGAAAAAAAAAATTCATTTATAATAAACATGTAAGCTAGTAGAAGATGTGCAGCTTGTTCACTTTCTCACGTGTAATGTTTTTAAATGTAACAGTGACATAAGAGGCATAGGTTGGTGTATTTTTCATTATAACAGAGCAGTCATTATGGTATCAGCTCTGGTATCTTGCACAATGTAGGCAGAATAATTTCTGCAACAATCTTGTCGCAGACATCTTTCATGAAAAATCCTTTCTTAGGATTTTTCCTTGTGAGAAGCTGCAGTTTTCAGCAACCAAAGTAAACAATGGTTATCTGCTGCTGTGGAATGCAACAGGTGATTGGTCTCCTGTGGGTGTTTGGATTTCTTGACCACTCATGGCAGAGCTGGCTCTTGCTCTGTCTGAGACACAGATCTTTGTTATTCATTCCTTTTCTATTCTTAGCTTAGCTAGCTGCTGAAGAAACTTTTCCTTTCTATTGCTTTTTAGTATAGTCTAATGTAACATATATCATAAAAGAATAAATCAAGCCTTCTGATCATGGAGTCAACATTCTTGTCTCTTCTTCACCCTGAAAACCCTTGTGATCACAGTCACACAATCTGTTGCATCTTCTGAGCATAAACAGCTCTATAAAGTAAGTAATTTTTTATTTAGAATACCAGCATAGTAGGTTGGCACTTTCACAAATCAATTCTGTTCAGTGTGAATTTGCAAGTTTCACTTCCATGGGGTTTTTTTTTGTTAGTCTAAACACACTCACTGTCAGCTTTCCTCTTTCTGGGCTCATGGTGGTGTTTTCTGGTGATTTCTTTCCCATGTAAGTAATGTCAGAGTGTGATGAAGTTGCTGTATCAGTCCTCTGTTTTGTTATAGAAAAGGAATTTAACCATGTTCCGTGTTACCCATTTTAATGTGAATATAATTTTCAAAATAACTTCAAAAGTTCAGCTAAATTTTTCTGAAGGTTTAACTTAAGTGACATGAAGGGCTCTCTATCAGACAAGGCTTTTCAAAAACATGTCAGTCAAGAAAAGAAAAACAGGATTCTTTGATAAAATGACTAATGATCATGTTCAGTACAGCTATTTTTTCTTCCTCTTTTTCCCCTTTTGCTTAGGAACTCTCAGAATTTAAATTTCCTTGTGGTACTTCTCTTTTCCTGTTGGGCTCTGTCCTTGAATGACCTTTAGCAGATGTCTTGATTGCAAATTGCATTTCTGTCGTTGGGATTTACAGCTCTCCTCCTCTGCAAGCTGCTGTTTCTTTTTATCATTTCATCTGAGCCAGTTTCCTCAGCTCCCCTATTCTCTGTGCTGTCTCTTTGGGATTCTCCACTGACTTCTGCTGTCTGTGGGAGCTTCAAGAGATTTCCTTCAAGTTTCCTTCCAATGGTCCAGTGCTGCCAATTTCCATTGGGAAATGACACAATAGGTAGGTGTTTGAGGTGTCAGACAGTGGGATACTATAACACATTAGTAAGTTTTTATCAGAACAAGGCTGGTAAGGAGAATCTTTCAACTGCATGGCTTCATCTGAACAACTCAGCTCTGCCCTTGTCTTTTTCTTGCACATACTTAATCTCTTCTCACTCATCTCCTGGACCTCTTATTTCTAAAACCTTACATGGCCCAGAGCTCTTGCCATGCCTTTTCTAGGTTTTGGTTTTTTTCCTGCTTATTTAAATTTCTGTATAAAATGCAACTTTAAATATGAACCTGCAGTACAAGGTTCATATTACAAACCCTCTGACCATCTCTGCTCTCCCCTGTGTACTTTGATAGGGGTTTTTTTGTTTTGTTTTTTTTTTGTTTGGTTGGTTTTTTTTTAGGTAGAGTGACTGAATGTATGGGTTTTTTGGCTTTTTACGTCACACATCAATTCATCCAAAATGTCTAAGAATCAAGGCAGTTTGGTGACCTGCAGTTAAACACGTATGTATCTTTGGTTTTGTAGTATAGCCTGAAGTTTTTTTTGAGTTATTTCTGGTCAGATGCTTTACTTTCAGACCAAGTAAATAAGCACATTTACTGGTGTTCCCAGCTCCTCTCCAATAAAGGGAAGCTGGTTTTGATGCTCGTGTTCTAAGCAAGGAGCAGTAGATCTGTGCTTGGCAGCCTTGCCATTACCTCAGGTTTAGTTAACTGGGCTTAAGTAACTATAAAACATGTAACAGCATATATGTCAAACAAACAGACGAGAAAAAAGTTTATTTGGCATTATGCTTAATCTCTGTTAAACAGAATGCCTGAAGCTTTTTAAACATTAATTATTTTCTAATCCTTTTAGAAATATATGGCAGATATATCTGCAAGCCACATCCTTTACAAAGGACCTGTTGTGACAATTTAGTTTGCAAATATGCTGGTATCACTTCCCTAAACGCAAAGCCTGCATAAAGGTTTTGCAAATGACTCATAATACTTTTTTCTAACCTAAAGGTAGGCCCCTGGGTCTTTCTGACCCCCCAAGTCTACTTAGGCAGTGCAGGGAGGAACTTGATTGTGTGTTCCCTGGCTGTAGCTCTGTTTACAGGGCAAGCCTGGACCCCTCACTTGTTGCTGAACAGCAGCCCTTACTTTGGGTTACTGACTAACGCTGCTCAAGATTAGAGCACAAATTAAAAATTGTGCTGGATCTTGGCTTCTGATGGTAAACTGTAAACAAAAAATATTTCTATTGCAGTTTGATCTGATTGAAAGGAGGGAATTGGAAGTATTAGATTAATTCATGATTTTTTTCAACATAGTATTATCATAAAAACTTTCCTGTTTCTAAACATAATGAATTGAATGCTTTTTTATCAAATCAGCTTTTTGCACTCATTTCTTTCTGAAATTTTTTAATTTTTAATTTGAAATATTTTAAATAGCAAGAAGGTCACCAATAGTAATTTATATTTTTAAGCTGACTGTTTGGCTTTCAGGTTTTGTAAATGTGACCTACACTTCCTTTTACAGAAAGAAACATGTTGCATTTTGCTAGTTTGCTGAAGAGTGAAATCCAATACATACAGTTTTCATGAGTCCAGTTTGTACTTTAAAAAAAAAAAAAAAACAATTGTTTTTTTTACTGCTCTTTTCCAGCGAATGGGGAACTTTTAATTTTGTTGGTTATGTTTGTCTATCTGAGCACTTGCTGCAAAATTGTGCAGCTGCAACTAAATTTATTTATCCTGTTACTAGTAAGTGTCACAGTCTGCAATCTTTCTTTTTGCGTTTAGAGCTGGTCAAGTGTAAATTCGTGTGGCTTCAAACTCATGAGCAGAATAAATGGTTGGGCTCTTTGGATCATACATCTAGCTGCTCTTTGGATTTCTGTTGAAAACACTGTGTGTAGAACTGAGTGTACAGTGTGTACACTGTGTGTACACTGAGTGTAGAACTCAGCAAGCTATTTGAATGGCTCCCTCAGAGCAAAGTGCTGAGATAACCACATATTCTTGGCCTTCAAATACGTTCTCAGCTTTCACTTTTATGGTACACCCCTAAAAAACTTCTAGACAGTGCCAGCAGTTGGAGAAGCTCATCTGGGAGAGAATGCTTTGTGAGAGCAGCAGATATATCAATAATGTAAATCATCAGCCCTCACACAGGCAGAAAGTGTAAAAGGAGCACACAGTCAGGGCCTTTAAAATTGTGGGGTTTTTCCACTATTGTACATTTCAGAGGAGAATGGGAGACCTTGGAAGTTATAGGATGTTTGGAAGGGATCTGGAGACACAATGTGGGGTTTAGGAGCGTATAGGGAGGATTGATAAATCAAGGTGGGAGATAATGAGATTTTGATTGTCTAGGTGGAAGGAGAAGCTAATGAAGAAGGATAAAGTGAAAGTATTGATTTCTCTGCAAGGACGAAGTAAAACATGTATCCAAATTAGGGGGTAGGTGTGGGGGTCAGCAGTATTCAATAGAAGGCCCCAGATTATTTTGGTGCTTGGATTTTGTCAAGGAAGCTGACAGAGAAAAGATATCAGGGACATGGGGAATAGACTGTTTGGATTTGCTTTCTGAAAACAAAAATCAGGAATGAGTGAGAACATTCCAAAGGCTGAATACCTGGAATAGGTTGTCTCTGGCATTTTCACAGGCTATGTGGAAAAAGAGAGCCTCTTAAAGAATAAGAAGGAGCTGACTGAAAGAGAACTAAGAAATAAATTGGCACAAGCTTTATCCATAGCAGAAAGAACTTGAAGTGTCAAAGCAGGAAAGTGGTGAAGTTGAGCAGATGTGATTTTTTTGAATGTGTAGTGATTGCTGGAGTACAATGATTGGAGCAAGTGGTTTCAGTGGAGTGAATCTTCACCCCTGGTTCACCATTATAGTTGTGCTGAAGCAAGTGCTAGTTACATGTATGGCTAAGCAGTAATGTTCAGTGCAACTGTGAAATTGTAAGGCATGTAATCAGCAGTTATATTTGTTTACAGATACTTTAGTAACCCCCCCAATGGGTTGTAAATATGCATATAAAACAAAATCTGATAGCATCTTCAT